TATATGTAATTCTCTTAACCTTTATCAAAAAAAAAAAACGAAAACACCGGGCCCGAATTTAGTTGTGAATTAAATTAAGAAACCCTACTGAAGATTTGTTAGTGAACCGGACCGGAATTTAAGTGAACCGGGCCCAAATTTCAGTAAATCACTTGTGAGATGGTTTGTTTCCTTTTTTGATAAATTTTAATTTTTAATATATATTTTTTTCCCTCCGTTTTTTTTTTTCCTCCTGGAACTCTGCATCTCTCTGTTTCTCTCGGCGAATTTCGATCAAAATATCCATTTTACAACGAACGCATCACCGGCGGTTGGTAGATCTACAAACTTTGGAAAAAAATAGAGATCTTTTGTTTGAAATGCATAGACTTACAAATTTACTATATCCAGAATCAAAATGTTGCTTTACCCTTTTCGAATGAAGCAAAAAAAATGGACTGTAATGGAAATTCCTTGTATCATTTATTTTTGATCCCTGGGAAATTTTTCTACCCGAAGAACGAAAGAGAACCTGCAAATTGCAAGTGTGATATTTCCCTTAAAGAAACTTTTCAACCGAACCGAAAACAGAGCCTCCGAATTGCATTATCAAGTCTGAGAATTGAAACAGAGCCTACCGAATCCATCAGATCTCAGAATCACCATAAAGGTAACCAATTTAATCCCTGAAGATCGATCTTTGTCACTCTGGAAAAATTAGTTTAGCTGATGAGGAGTTTCGTCATCTGAGTCTTGATAATGATAAATTTTCGGTTTTTTTCTGGAATTGATGAGACTGTTAGGTTCAATGTTGTACTGAATAATCGTTTGATTTTGGTCTGATAAACTTTGATGATGTGTAAATTGTAATCTCCCAGGTTGATTCAGGCTTACCAAGAAGGTCGTGAAGAAGAAGTCATTCCAGAGAAGATGAGAATTGTGTGGTTTTTGGTATATGTGATCTGTTTTGTGGAAGCCGTGAAGGGACGTTTGGGTCCTGGGACTTGTGATTCTCCCGAGAGTTGTGATCACAGAGTAAAGACGCTGCTTTCGATAATTGAAGCATTCGGGTACCCGCCGATATTTTCAGAGATTTGGCAAGGTCATGAACCTTGTAACTGGTATGGTATCACCTGTTTTGAGGGTCGCATCACATTAGTGACATTCATATCGATGAATTTGACGGGAAGTATCTCTCCGAGTTTTGCGGATATCACCTCTCTTTCCGTGATTGATTTGTCGCATAACCGGCTTACCGGGATCATTCCGTTCGAGCTCACGAAGTTGAACCTGGAATCCCTGGATGTTTCCTACAACGACCTGCATGGAAAAGTGCCACAGTTTAGAAACACCGTTCCAGACACTCAAGGGAATCCAAAGATTGAGACCGGCATCATTCACGTTCCTTCACAGCCAAGTAACAAGAAAAGATCAGCTCTGATTGGGATTATCATTGGTCTTATTGTGGTTCTGACGTTGCTGATTATTGCTGGAAGCTGTGTTGCGTTCTGTTTCTTTAGGAAAGGGAAACAGACCAATGTACCAGATCCGATTGAAACAGTGGCTTCACATATGAATCAGAGATTCCAGTGCAGACTCTTAGGCTTGCGACAGATGATTTTGACAGCAACAACATAATTGGCAGAGGTGGATTTGGAACAGTTTATAGGGGTATGCTTCAGGATGCAACAGAGGTTGCAGTTAAGAGGATGGAGCAATCGGTTATAGGCGGAAAAGGCCTCGATCAGTTCAAAGCCGAGGTTAGTGTTTTGACCAAGGTTCATCACCGTAACCTTGTGGTTCTCCAGGGGTATTGCATCGAAGGCAACGAGAGGCTGTTGGTTTACCAGTATATGCCACTAGGGAGCTTGAGTCGACATCTCTTCCATTGGAAGGACCAGGGATTGGAACCACTCGGGTGGAGTAGACGTCTAGCAGTCGCATTGGACGTCGCTCGAGGAGTTGAGTATCTGCATAGGTTGGCTCACCAAAGCTACATTCATAGAGACTTGAAGACGTCAAACATCCTCCTGGGAGAGGATATGCGAGCTAAAGTATCTGACTTTGGTTTGGTCCGATCTATAGAAGAAGGCAGAGAATCATTCAAGACCAAGAATGTTGGTACATATGGTTACATGGCGCCGGAGTATGCATGTAAGGTTTTCTCATTTTGTCTGTCAATATTTCTATATAGTTATATACTGTTAATTTGATTTCTAACAACTAAAATCTCTGTAATTGCAGTGACGGGAAGGGTTTCTAGAAAGATTGATGTTTACAGCTTCGGAGTGGTTCTCATGGAGCTGATAACGGGCCAGAATGCTATAGACGAGAACCGGTCTGGAAATGATGCTCTCATGGCCACTTGGTTCAAGAAGATGTTCGCTGGGAAAGACTCATTCACGAAGATTATCGACGAACCCATCGAGGTCAACGAGGAGACCCAAGGGAGCATCAGTCAAGTGGCTGAACTGGCGGGTTACTGTTGCGCCAAGGAACCCGAACAGAGGCCAGAAATGAGTCATGTAGTCACCGCTCTTGCCTCACTCGTTGAGCAATGGAAGCCCAGAAAAGTCGAAGAGGACAGCGCCACGGACATGGAAATGGTAACAAGATGGAAGCAGCAGTTGGATGCAATTGTATCTACCTGATACTTCCTAGCTATCTTTTTGTTCTGATGTCTATAAGCATGTACATATCAAATTTTACACTGTTTACAGGTGACAATGTAAACATGTATATAACAGTTTAATCAAATCGATTGTCATCTGAGAGTATAATTTGATAGCAGAGAAACAAGAAAATCAAAAACTATACCAGATTAAACCACTTCGATTGACAAATGTATATGCTAATTGAAGGAAAACTGTAGCAGAAGTGTAGAAGGCTAAGTCCAAGATAACTGAGACTTGGATATACAAAAGCATGATGTAAACGTTTTGAACAACAATTTTGTAGGTTAAGAACACAAAAGGCCAAGACGATGCTCGAGATTCAATCCTTTCGCCGCATCTTCACTTTAAGTGAGACTTCTCTGTATGATTGGACTTTCTCTGCGGCATGTCTCGATGGTCTTCCGACAGATGTTCTTCTCACCATTCCTTCAGTTTCATCAGCTGCAGGCTTGTTGTTCTTTGATTCTCGCTCATGGTCCTCCTGAGAAACTGATGATGGTATCAGATCACACTCTTGAACTATGTTGTTGTGCAAAGACGAGTCTGTCGCCGTTTCTTTGATGGCTGCATCGGTTTCTGTAGATGTTTGAGGTTTACCCTTTGTTGATTGTCTTCTCGTTGATACTCTGACATGTAGACCATAACAATCACATTACATCATGAAAACTCTAAACTCATAGGCGGAAATGCAGGGGAAATTTATTGTCACTTAACAAACCTGCATTTCCCGTTTGTCTCCTTTGTGTCATGTATGCTTTCAGATGGTTCTACAGTTTCAGATTTTGATCCAACAGGTTCTTCGCTTACCAAGCTTCTGAAATATTAACCAGGAGAGGAAACACATTTGGTATTAGCTAACTCAATTTCTATGTTATCAATCGAAGGGACTGAGAAAAAAAGATAATGTTTCAACATACCCTGCATCATCAGCATTCAAAGTTTCAGTCACTTCCGGTTCTTTGAAATTAAACCTTGCAGACTGTTGTCTTGAAGAGACACTGCCCAGTATTACGAGAAATTAGTGACAGCCTCTAATGCATTTTTAGTAACATCTATTAAGGATACTACTTGTAAAGAGGACGTATTTCAAGCTCTTACAAACCTTCTCCTCTTGATTGTTTCCCTGACTTCGTCTCTCTCATGGAAGCTTTTGCATGGTTCAGATTCTTTGGGCCTTAACCGAGCAGAGCGTTTTTTCGTAGAGGGCCTGCTTGAAACAGCGACAGTGTCAATGCAATTACAGTGTTGACCATTCAGAGTTTGCAACATCCTCAGTAATTCAAGTGGAAAGACGGAAAAAAAAACACTAACAAACCTTGCAATATCTTTGGCATCATCCATCTCAAGCAACTTTTCCATTTGTTCAGTTTCTTTTATTTGGTTGTTTTGTTGTAGGCAATGACCTTCGTCTATCTCATGGAAACTTTTAGATGGTTCAGCTTCTTCCAACCTTAACCGAGCAGAGCGTCTTCTCAAAGAGGGCCTGCTTGAAACAGCAATAGTGTCAATGCAATTACACTATTGTCCATTCAAAGTTTGCTACAACGTCAGCAATTAAAGGAAAAAAAACACTAACAAACCTTGCAGTTTCTTTAGTTTCTTTGGCACCATCCATCTCAAGCAATTTATCCATTTGTTCAGTTTCTTGAACATCAAACCTGGTAGATTGCCTTCGCGCACATTGCCTACAACAGAACAATAACAAAAAAACAGAGAATAAATCACAAATAAGATATAGTTGTCTTCCCATTGTTTTGGCATAGGCATTGATATAAAAAATATTAACTCTGACTGAATATAAGAACCTCTTGCTATGCACGCTGTCTTTCGCCAGATTTGCTTCATCAAGAACAAACTTCTTGTCGACGACATTGTCACCAATTTGGTTTGCCCCTCGAGACACAACCCCCTTTTCAATGGTATCTTCAGTTTCACAGGTTTCTTCTGTGATACAAGTAGTATCTATTACTCCAGAAAATTTCCTATAAATCAAACAATAATACGTCAGGTTTACTATACTGCCAAAAGCTTTCAAAGAAAATATGGATGAAATATTAAGCAGCTTTGGACCTTTTACTGTTAGCGTTCTCATTAACGTGTATTGGCTTATTGTTGGAGCTTCCTGACGCTGAAATTGAACCACTATAGGGTAAGGATACAAAAGGGTTGGGTTTCTAGGATCAACAGTGAATCTAAGCAAAACAGTTTACATTTTATCCTTGATGTTCGCTTTCTCTTGGTGTCTTTATGATTCATGCCATGCGCGCAATCCCCATCAGAAACGTTTTCTGGAATCTAAAAGTCAAGAACAAAGCCATATGTAACGTGAAAAAAATGTAGTACTAAAGGTAACACTTTCGTATTCCGAAAATGTCATCCAGGACAATTCAAGTAAGCACCTTAACTTTCGATGCGTGATGTGTACATGGAAGTGCTTGCTCCTGGAAGAAATTCTCAAGTTTATAACTTTTCTCAGGTAACTATAGTCAATGAAAAATATACAGACCAAGGAGATAACTTGCCTCGTGCTGCATTTTCTTGGCATTGAGTAATACATTATTGCAGCCAAGTTCATGCTGAAGTAGCTTGAGCTGAAAATATACATACAATGTCAGTTGATCAAAGAACATATAATAATATAATAAAATAAGAAAGCCTCGGTATGAGAAACTTCAGGTCCAGAAAAGCTTACTCTGTCTCTGTTTGTGTTGAGTTCCTGCCAGGAAAAATATCAACAAAACGACAATGAAGCCATACTTTTATCACATAGTTTAAAAAAATCTCACACTCATCTAAAAATTGACCATAGAAAGATGGGACACACCGCCAACATTTGACTGTTTGCCTGTGCAAGCTGCAAATTCTTTTCCTGCACATTCCGTAAGTTGATCCTCAGTTTCTGAATCTCAACACCGCTCAGCTCGACGATTTTGCTGTAGCCACACAAGAAGAAAAAAAAGAAAAACAAACGTTACCAACAAAAATAATAATGTTCATGAAACTCAAACGCAAAACATATTCAAACCAAAGCAAGATTAATACTTTCTGTGTGCCAAGGCTTTCATCAGTGTCATGTTTTCCTGCAAAAAAAGGAATCGATACAACAACAACCGAATCAGCAAACTACAGTCTTTCACACAATTCAACAAGAATCAAAGTAAAGGGCCATGCCTTTTGAAGCTTTTCAGCATATTCCTGGGAAGAGAAGATCATATTTTGTTGCTGGTGCGTCTCTTGTTTCGCATGACCTTGCAAATTGCTAATATCCGCCAGCTTTCTCCTCTGTGCACTACTCATCGAAGACTCCGGAACAGTCGTCTCTTTATGAATTCCTCCTACCTCTGCCAATTTTCCATCAGTGTATTAACGCAAACTCCCAAACACTTAAAAGTCAAAATTAGCAGCTAAGAAACGAAACGGAATCAAACCCTAAATTCCAAGAAAATACAGTGTCGCGAGCAGAAATTCCAGCAAAAATGAGACTCAAATTAGGTACCTAGAAGGATTAAAACCCAAATTCACCATCTAAATGTAAGAAAAGAGCTCTCGAATTTGACAGAAAAGAGAAGACTCCATAGATGCGAACAGTTCAACTCCAATAAACGGAGGAGGAATTAGAAATAGAAACCTAAAACGCGAAGAAATTCGAACCTTGAGGAGCGTAACTATCATCGTCGAGAACCGTCACAGAGGTCATGGTGGAGGCGGATCGAGAAAACCCTAATCCTGTTTTTCCGGGTCGGATCGGAATTTTGAATCGGAGAGAGGGAAGACGAAGGAGCAGAGAGTGAGGAATTTTTTTACGAATAGAGAATTTGAGGGGTATAACGGTCAAACTATCATGCGTTCCATGGTTGAAACGACATTAAAGTCTGTCGTTTTAGTATCTGAAAGTCGTTAACTTCATTAAACCGTTGTATTTGTCCCATTTATGTTTGCATTTGCTTACTCTTTGCTTCAATTAGTATAGTCTATATTAATTAATACTAAGATTGAAGACATATATACACATCAATTACGTAGTAGCATACTCCATCTTTAGAACTTTGCAATGGAAATGGTCTAAACAAACTAGTTGGGAATGGAATATTCAAAAAGTTTCCTTGATGCAAGGAAAAAAAAAAATCACTTTGTCGTTTAAAGTTTTTTAACCTCGCAATAACGAAAGCAATACATAAAAGTTTGCATTTTAAAAAAGGGTTATTGAAATCTCCAAATTTAACGTATAAATGCGGTAATGTTGGGTTTCCATCTTGTGAGAAAAAACAGTGAAAGTAAAAATATATTTATGGAATGTCATTACGAACAAGTCAATCATTTAGAGTGTTGACAAAATCCCTAGAGTCATGATATCTTATACCAAAATCCCTATCCTCTATAATAGAGTATACGCTAAGAAAAATCCTAGATGTCAATCAAAGAGAGTTTTAAGGAATCATTAATGCTTTCAAAATATTTTATGGAAATAATATTTAAAAACCTTAATTACTATATTTCACCTAAATTACCCACCGAATTTAACTAAAGTTCTTTTCTTTTGTCGACAACACCCAATCATATTTGTGGATTTTGTCCTCTCCCAAAAAATTAAAGTTAAACTTCGATCCAAACCCAACGAAATGAATTCAAAATTAAAAAATTAATTGAAAATAAACAAAATTTTAACTGAAAAATTAAATCAGTTTCTTAAAACAAATTTTCATGTTGCTTTGTTTCTTGGATACTATATTAATCTTGAAAAATCAATATATCCGAAACATAAACTCTTTTGAATCTTCTATATATTAATTGAAGTGACAATAGAAGAAAAAATTGTGATGTGAATCAATGAACAATTTAATAGACACATCGTTTCATTTAACCAATCAAAATATTTCAATTAATAGTATGTACCATGGTAGAAATTATATACATTTTCTTATGAGTTTTTAAAATTTAACATAAATCCACTAATAAATGTTTTAACATTTTAAACCCAACTAAATATCATATATTAGACTTACCATAAAAATTGATTTACTGTTATATATATGTATTTAGATTAGCACACTATACATATGTTTTAATTTTGATATAGTCTATTATACATGTGGGGGTCGGATTTCACCCCTATGAGATCGATATGGCGATGAGATCAACTCCACAACGTCTTGACGAAATCAAAGCAAGTCTACCAAGGCCCAGTCCGAATCTAGGCCCAAAATGATATTAAATCCATGAGCAAAATGGGCTTAATTGAATAATGGGCCTAAATTAGATATATTGCTTAATGGG